ATATATATATATATATATGTGTGTGTGTGTGTGTGTGTGTAAATTAAGTTACGTTCTTATAAATTTTGAACAAATAACATTTTACATGTTAGAGACTTTAAATTTCCATTATTTTAAGAACCATAGTGTTTTGAAAACCCAAATGGTATTTTACCCATATTTTATCTAAAATATATATTAATTGCACTTTTAAATAAGAGGAAACTATGTTGAACCAACTCAAATCCAAACCCATCAAACAACCCTTACTCCAGAGGTTCTCAAATATGGAAAAACCATTTATTCAATGTGTCGAATTGATCGGGACCGTAACAGTACTTCTTCGGGTGTTATAACCGGGAAATACACTGTGTGCATATACAGACTTCATTTCCTAAAGTTCCGTCAACGACTATTAATCTCATGCATAAAATCATAAAATAAGATGACATAGATAACATATTCCAATTAGTTAAAAATGATTCAACAAGTAATACTGCTTAAGAAATACTTCAATAACTCAATGTAATCAAAAATAGCAAAAGCAGTTTTTAATTTATCATAACACAGCCGTCATAAAATAACATTACCAAAAACTACATATGATGATCAAACTTCACCATATCTCTCTCTATTATATCTGAAAGCAGGCTATTCAGTCGCAACGGCCTTGGTAGCACTGGAAACCTTGGATCTCCTCTTAGCCAAACTCTCACTGCGGCGATCCCTCTGCTCCTTCAACCTGGAGGCCAGGAGTTTCTGGTATTCTGCTGCCTCTGATTTTGCCTTGGCAATTCTCTTCTTCTTATCAGCAATTCTTGCCCTCTTTCTTTGGAGGGTAAGAGGGGTGACCAGTCTTTGAATCTTGGGAGCTTTACTCACCTTTTTCCCTGCAACCATTTATACAATAACTATGTCAGTATATATGATCAATACAATCACAAAGAATATGTCATTTTATCCAGTGTCTCAAAGAGACCATGATCTATTTATGCTTAAAACAACTTTTCAATTCAAAGGGTCCTCCAGTTTTCCATCGAAACTAGATTGTAAGAACTCACCATGTGAGGTTCAAATTTGTACAAGGATCTGATATATTATTTCTTGGAAAGCAAGCACCAGCTTAGCATCTCCTTGAAATTAAGGGTTAAAACTCAGCCAGGGAGTGGGGAGATATTTTATATAATTATTAATAACAAAATTTATCCATATATATTTCATTACCAATTTGAAAGAGACACCAATTTGACCCTATACATATTTTCAGAGGAACAAGTCAGGCAAACACCACAGGCTTTATCAAAAGATGTATATTCAGTTACATGAAACAAACATCACCGTAAGAATCTATCAAAAAACACAATTTCAATAATCAATAATAAAAAAGGCCTTTTAATACAACAAATGAAGGCAAGCAACAAATTTCCTTTTACACAAGTCATTTTGCTGTACAATTTTAGAAAATATCAAAGGAATAATACTGCAAATCAACCAATATTAATCATGCATGAGCCACAAATAGGTTCATCATACAGACATGCACCAACATTCACTTAACAAAACAACTATGGGAACCGTACCACCATCAAAGATTTGTAACATGACACTTGCAAAATCTGGTCAAGTTGTCAACAGATTTATAGTTAGCTACAGCCTTAAATTTCATATTGTTCTTTCATTAACATAATCTATTTCTATATTTTAGACACTTTTAAATCAAGCAGATACAAAAATTCAAAGCACCAGAAATTTTACCAGCTTTTGTCGTAAATGTCCGACGATAGGTGTTAACATACTTCCTCACATCATCCTCCTTAGACAGGTTGAACAATTTACGAATTTTGGATGCTCTCTTAGGACCTCTCATCCTTGGCTTCTCAACATCAGTCAGTCCTGGTAAATCATTCTCACCCTTCTTCACAATTACAAGGTTCAGAACAGAGAGATCTGGGCTGACAATGCACCCACGAACAGACTTTCTCCTACGTTCTCCATTACGCCTTCCATATCCACGGAAACAAGGAGTTCCTGTTCAAGTAACGAATAAAAACTATTAGTGTTGGCAAAAAAGATGATGAGACTTCTGATATAAAAGATATATTACATATTATATTACTAAAACATTGAAGTTCTTCAAAAAATAAGGCAAAAAAGCAAAATCAATTTTAAAATATTAATATATAACAAGAGCACAGTACAAAGTAGAACAAATAGGTTGAACCAAAAAAGGCATTGAAGCTAAACAAAAGACCCACCCCTGTGAAGCAACAGTCGAACACGACCAGGGGTCAGCACTCCCTGCTTCATCGGGAATCCTTGCTTGTCACAACCTCCAGTGATTTTGAAAAGATAGCCTTTAAATTCCTGTTGGCAACAGGTATAAAGGTGAATATATAATCATTAAAACTCTGCAAAAATTTGGAGCAGACATTCAAGGTTTGCAGCTAAAGAGTATACCTCACCAAGTGCATCTCCACTAACCTCCTGTGAGATCCTCTTGTCCCAAAATGCTCGTCTGCAATTAAAAGTTAAGATTATTGTAATAGGAAGACAAGTCACATTTCCCGACATTTCCCAAAGAACATATAAAATGAGCTCCTTCGGAACAAATCATTTGGAATTCAGTGGTGCAGGCGTGTGGCAATACTGTGAGATGGGTGATTCATCCAACACTTTAAATTTCAGATATAGAGAAGAAAGATAATAATTTATCGGTAATTCTGAATCATTCACGAACATCAAAAGGTTATGATACACCAAAAATAAAAAGAAAAAAAAGTTGATGTGCACAGTGCAAATAATATATAATTTGCTCTTTGACAATATGTCACAAATTTTTACAACAGAACAAGTAAAAAAAGGTGTCTACCATCCCTCTCCTCAATTCCTCAGTCAAGCACAATGTTACAGTGAAGTACAACATTTGGGTGATTGATATATAACTTTACTTATTAGAAATTTTTTCAGAAAACAAAATCATGATACTTTTTTCTTAAAACATGTTATTACAAATTAATTTACATATTAATTATTGGCTCTGGCTAGTGATATAAATTAATTTACATATTAAACGCTTTACTTCTATAGTTTTGTTGAAGTCTAACATCAGTGTTCAGCTAGTGCTAAAACTTAAGAAAACCCCTAGGATTGGTTTAACATATCCCAAAATAAAAGGGATAAAAAAATCCAAGGGTGAATGCATTAGTTGTATTGTGATTCATCTTTTCTGAGTTTCTTAACTAAATGAATTATTTTCTTTTCAAAGCAAAGCACAGACAGACACCAACCTGTAAAAATAAGAAATAATTTAATAAATTTAATAAATAAATAAACAAAAGTGAAGAGACTACAATTTCTGATCGTCATCGATCTCGAGCTTCTTCTGGCACCCAGTGGTGGGGTTCGCAATGTTGAACTGCAGAATAAAAAATCACAAAGCAAAATTAAGCAACGAATGCACATAGAACGAATACATATAGGCGACAACCAAAAAAAAAATCAACAGCAGAAAATAGAACAACTACGGAAAACCAAACCATTAATCATATAGAAGAAAGGACAGAAACAAGAACAACATGGACTTTGGAGGAAGAGAACCTTCATCTCGCGATCTTCTGCAACCGCCGCGTCGAACTCTCGCTGAGAGTGATCAGAAAACTGAAAACGTGCGCACGGTAGAGAGGAAGTAGGGTTTTAAGTTCAACATATATATACCAACCCAGTTGTGATTCTTGAGCCTCAAATGGACTCGTCAGCAAAATTGGTCTGGGCCTACTTGAACGATGTATAGCCCAACAAGAATAAGTACTTTTACTCTTTTAGTAATTAAAATTTGATTCTAAATTTATTCTAAATATCTTATTATGTAAAATATATGAGATAAATATTTATTATATATAACTAAAATTTTATAATAAATTATATATTTAAATATATTTTTAATATCTCAAATTTAAAGTGAATTTATTTGGAATTTTTTAAATTTAAAATTGATTTTTGTGTTTTATAATTTTAAAAAATATATTTTGGTAATTATATTTAAATTTTGTTCGTAAAAAATTAGAAGTAATACTAGATTATTTAAGATTTTAAATATATAGGTCATACATATTTTATAAAATTAAAAATTTAAGTTTGACCATTATTTATCATAAAATTATTTATAAAATTTGATTTGACTTATTAGTCTATTTAAAAATTTATTTTGTACTTAGTTTATTTAAAAACTTATTTTACATTAATAACATTAAAAAAACTAATAAATTTAATATTTTAAATAAGATTTTTAAATGCACTTTCAAGTCTTTGTTTAATTTGTGTGATAAGTCTTTTTTTAATTTGCATGATAAAAAATAATTTACTCTATTATTGAAATTTAGAGTTTAAAATTAAAAAATAAAAAACTAATTGAGGGACAATCATGCATACTCATATACACTAATGTATACTCATACACAGACTGTAATGAAGAAGATAATCTTATTAAGAAGGTTTAAATATGTTTTGATTCCTTAAATTTAAATTTGTTGATTTTAGTTCTTGTAATTTCAAAAAATCTTATTTTAGTTCTTATATTCAAATTTTGTTAAGAAATTTATTAAATATTATTGTATAAAATATACTTATTGATGTCCCTATTAGTGAAAACATCACAATAAAACCAATTAATATTGCATAATCGTCTTAATTTATCACTTTCAAATATGTTATTGGTGATCAAAAGACAAAAACAAAATTTTTGAAAATTACAAAGATTAAAAAAAATTGTTTTAAATTTGAAGGACCAAAAACAAATTTGTCTTAAATTTGAGGGACTAAAAACATATTTAAGCCTATTAAAAAAACTTTTAAACATTTCCTATATCATGTTTGAAATATTTTAAACAAATAACCATGAAGATGAAGGGTAGGCATGGCAATCTAACCCGCCCCCGTGGGTACCCGGCCGAACCCACCCTGATTTGGATGGGGAAAACCCGTGTTTATCGGGTTCGGATCTGATATCGAAACTAAATTAATAACTAGTGAAATTAATGTATTCTAAGCTACAATTTTTCCTATAAATGAATATTGGGCTGCAAAGGATAATTTATAGAGTAAATCATATTCACATCTTTTTGTTTTTTTTAATATTACATTTGATACCTCTTTATTTTTTGAACTTATAGTAAAATCTCTTAAAAGTTGAAAAGATGTTACATTGTTTCCTCGACCTACAAATAATGTCAAGTTTGTTAACACATTTGTGTTCATGTGAAGGTCACCTAACACAAATGTGTTAACAAACTTAATGTTGTTTGTGGATTGATGAAAAATTGTAACATTTTTTTAACTTTTAAGAAATTTTACTGTATGTAGGTCCAAAAAATGAAAAGGTATCAAATGCAATTTTAAAAAAATAAGATGTGAATGTAATTTACTTTAATATGTAAAGAGTAAATATGCTTGTTGTAACTATCACTGATACTTTTATTATTCCTAATTGTGCTGATTATAATCTAATTATTGAAAGGACACAATAATTGCCATCAAAAATAAGTTTTAACGTGAGAATTAATTTTTTTTGTCTAGCACAAATTAGAATTAATTTTAAGAGCTAATTTAGTGAACTGTAGAAGACATTCAACTACGTATAGGGGATGATCTTGGTTCAACTGACCTTTTAGGCCAAGAAACTAAAGCACAGTTAGAATTTCAACATCCATTAGCGGTAGAAGAATCTTTTTGAAAGGAGAAAGCTCGTCTGAACTGGTTCTTTGATGGAGATTGAAATACATATTTTTTCCACAATATTGTTAAATATATAAAAGAATGACAAAATACATGAGTTTTCTTAAGGAGGGGGGTGATTAATGGATTGTGCAGGACATTCAAAATCATGTATTGCAGTATTACTCTTCTTTGTATGCTTATGAGACTAACTACTCTAGCAATGCTTTGATTTAAACTATGGTCCCGTTGTTAATTACATAGGTTGATAATATTATGCTTTAATATACCTACGTTTGAGGAGGTAAGAGGTGTTATCTTTTCTATGAACAGTACAAGTGCTCCCGATACATGGTTGGAAAGGATTTGAGGCAAAATGCTCTCTCAAATTCATATAATCCAAAGTGT